GAGATGGAGCTGCCAGGCAAGAGGTCAAGAGGAAGGCCAAAGAGGAGATATATGGATGTGCTAAAAGAGGACATTAAGTTAACTGGGGTGAGAGTAGAGGATGCTGAGGATAGTTAGGTGGAAACAGATGATTCGCTGTGGCGAACCCTAACGGGAAAAGCCAAAAGTGACTTTCTCAATAATAATATAACAATAATATAAGAAACATGAATGTAAACTGATTTCAGTAGCATTTTATTTTAACATCCGTATTTATCTAGTATATGAAGATATATTAACTGGTTTATTTATCCAGTCTAACAGAATAAAAACTGGTTTCTAACAGATTGTATAGTTCTCCTGTGGAGGCCCAGCAGTGGAGGCTGCTGGAATCATATATCTATATCCACTCTAAACTGACCCAGCCCACTTTGACCCCTCTGAACTCCTGAAGTTCACAGATCACACAGCAATCATTGGTCTCATCCAAGACAGTGACGAGTTGGCCTACAGACCGGAGGCTGAACAGCTGGTCCTGTGGTGTCGTCACAACAACCTGGAGCTGAACACGCTCAAAACAGTGGAGATGATAGTGGACCCCTCACCATTCCCAGCAGCATTGTATCAGCAGTAGAGTCCTCCAAGTTCCTGGGCTCCGCTGTCTCCCAGTACCTGAAGTGGACGTTCAACATCAACACCATCATCAAGAAGGCACAGCAGAGGATGTACTTCCTGCTCTAGCTCAGGAAGTTCAACCTGTCACAGGAGCTGCTCCAGTGGACAGTCAGGACTGCAGAAAAGATCATCGGTGCCAGCCTGTCCTCCATGGAGGACCTGTGCACCTCACAGGTCAAAAGGAGGGCAGAGAAGATTTCTACAGATTCCTCATACCTTGGACACACTGTTTGGACTCCTCCCCTCTGGACGGTGCTACAGGTCATTGTACGCCAAGAGAACCAGAGACAAGTACAGTTTCTTCTCCCTGCTACTTGTTTTGTCAATTTCAGTGTGTATTGTGTATGGGTGAACTATTGTTGCTGTTTATCATTCACTGCTGGCTGTAAGACAAATTGCCCCTCAGGCACAATAAGGTTTACCTTACCTTACTATCACTTGCATGAACAATTAATCCATGTCAGTATAATAACAGTGCAGTGCAATAACTTGTTTTGTATTTATTTATAAAAAATGCTTCTTTTACTCTATGCATATAATATTTATAAAGAGTTCATATTTTTACCCTATTTCTTTTTCCTATTTAAATAGACGTATGTTTCTTGTTGCCTTATGAAAAGATACAGAGTTATAGTACCAGAACCAAAATAACCTTGGAAATCAACTGGACTTGGATTTCTAGATCGAAGACGTTTCACCTCTCATCCAAGAGGCTTCATCAGTTCTGACTGACTGGTGTTAAGTCGGAGATATTTATCCCCCTCGGTGTGGTTTCAGTCCTTAGAAGGCCAACAATGTCCATTAACGACTGAGTCGTTACAGCCCAGCCCAGTATCAATGAGGGTCGTTACCTGTCTTTGGATCCTCCCCTGTCAACCGACGCCTATTGTCCTGGTGGGCATGTTTGGGCAAAGATCTCAGAACCGGGTTGTAGATGGAAGACAAGTTGTGTCTTAGTCCACCACCCCTATTAAGAGAGGGGTGTTCTATTTTTACGAAAATAGCTTCCTTAACACCTCTCTCAAACCAGCGATGTTCTCTGGAGAGGATCTGGACTTCACTGTCCTCAAAAGAGTGTCCTTTCTCCTTCTGGTGGAGGTGGACCAGCAAAGTTGATTCAGATTCTGATAAAATATGTCTGTAGAGGACAAGTTAGAACAAATACTTGAACATGTTTTTAGATCTTAGATCACGGGGGTACACGGTACATGGGGTATACCCTGGACAAGTCGCCAATCCATCGCAGGGCTAATACAGAGAGAAACAACCACACACACTCCTATGGGCAATTTAGAGACACCAATCAACCTAAGCTGCATGTCTTTGGACTGTGGGAGGAAGCCGGAGTACCTGGAGAGAACCCACGCAAGTACGGGGAGAACATGCAAACTCCACACAGAAAGGTCCCGGGTGGGGCCTGAACCCAGAACCTTCTCGCTGTGAGGCAACGGTGCTAACCACTGCGCCACCGTAATAATATAGTAATAAAGTATTTTTGAGGTAGAGACCAAACCCTCTCCCAGTCAATTTTGTCCCTATGTTTATTCCAATAAACAATGGCACTTGGTCATGAAATAATTTGCTGATGAAAAAGTGAATGCATTTTCTTACAGTCTGAGGTTGGTGAAAAACAGATCTTAGCATTTGAGGCATCCATTAAACTATGACATTGGTCCTGGTTTTTGAATCAAAAGGCCTTTCGTGATCATGACGAGGCCAGAGGAAGTGGCATCAAAGACAACTGCGAATTGCTTGGCTGTTACTGGGAACTTAAAGTGAGACAGAAATTCACTCTAACCAAATAATTATCTTTGATTATTAAATAGTTGTCTCACAAATATTATATAGTTTTTCCAGTTGTCAAAGTAGAGAAATTTGCTCTTATACAATATGTCTCTATTGTGCCAAAGGATATAGTTGTGAGGAGAATAGCTGTGTTTGTAAATCAAAGACCTGGGCAGCAAACACTGTTTATGGAAAGCAGACTGTTTGGCTGGAATCTTTTCATGGTTATAATTGCAGAGCAAAAGAAAGTCCAGACCACGCAGCTGAGAGAGTACTGTATATGATCAGAGATGAATTCCATATCGAAGAGGGGCGGTTCAGATCTATCCACCTAACTGTAAACACCCGCGGTCTTTCTCAGGTGGCGCTGTGGGAAAGTGACGTTATGATGTCCTTTCACTGCGAACAAGTGTAGAAGAAGAGACGCGCATGCGCACAGCCTGCTCAGTTGATTATAGGAGAAGCCAATATGGAGGTGTTTGTGAGCTTTCAGAGTTTCAGGTTTTCTAACTTAAAGTTTCCAGAAGGTTCTGTGGTCAGAGATGTTCTGCAGCGGTTTCCTCTGGTCCAACGGGTGAGTGTTTCCCCAAACAACGTCACGTGGAAAAACTGAAGGAACGTGTTTTACATTCGGCAGTTAGCTTTTGTGCTAACGCTGGTGCTAGCTAACGACGTTTGTTAAACGCTTTAACGTTACTGATTAAAGTTTCTAAAGAATTAGTAACTACGTTTATCTTTAGTTTAATAGGTCGTTGTCGTTAAATCTAATTTATTTGTATAGCGCCGAGTCACAACAAAAGTCGCCATTTTATAAAGTCAGGTCTAAACCTTACTGTTATTACTATTACAGAGGTAAAACCCAACAGCCCCACCGAGCAGCACTTGGCGACAGTGGGGAGGAAAAACTCCCTTTAAGGGAAGAAACCTCCGACAGACCCCAGCTCTTGGTGGGCGGCCTTCTGCCCCCTGGTGGTCTGTGGGCGGGGCGGGCAACGCCGGGGGTTCAGTGTCTTGGCCAGGCACAATTCGACTGTGGACTGCAGGCACCGAGATTCGAACTTTCAACCTTCCGGTTGGGAGACGACTGCTCTACCCACCGCACCACTGTCGCCTCCCCATAAACGTTGAAATCCAGGGGAAGCTGAAGCTATCCCAGTGTTAAATAACTGTAAACACACAACAAGTCTGTGTGGTCACAACTCCCCAGGGCGGGTCCAGTTGGGGTGACTGTAATGGTTGTGAGATGAATCACAGGTCGGACACACAGGGCTTCAGGGTTCGAAGGTTATTCTATGAAAGGATAGCAAGGGGCACGATGAGCACATCCACAGGCACACATCTCTCTCTGGTGTCCTCACCAGTGTTATCCAGTATTTTTCTCCTTGTCCATTTACTTGACACATTACAAATCCTAGACCCATATCAAAACACTACTAACCATGGGCAGTAAAATAACCAACAGGGTGAACTATGAATACTCTAACACAAATTCAGTACATCTTATGAAATGAAATGTACATTTTCAATTAACATGTTCAACTAAATAGAAATTGGCTACCTTCCCCAGCATAACTGTGCGCGGAGTTAAAATTGAAGTGCAGTAACACAACATACCAATGAAAGGATAGCAAGGGGCACGATGAGCACATCCACAGGCACACATCTCTCTCTGGTGTCTAAACAGCATATTAACGAAACAAAATCTCAGTCAGACTAGCCGTTTTATAAGTGTATGAGTGACACAACGGCTTCACAGAAACGTTTAACACAATATATGTATATAACGCTACGTTTCTGCACCAAGATATACAACTTTAAAGTTCATTAATCTCGACAGAATGAGAGGGAGCAAGGGACGCGTCTTACCCACACCAGTGTTATCCAGCGTTTTGCCGGGAATATGGTGTGATGCTGAGTGTGCATCTGTGCGTGTGTTACATACACTAATGTCCCCCTTGCAACATACGTCCAGTAGGAAGCCAGAAATCAGGTCTTATGCTGACGATGCAATCAACACTTTTCAAGGGAACAAAACAATGTAGTGGAGTTTTGAGAATGTTCACAAAAATAAAATCAACAAAAATTTAATATAAAATTAACTTGGCTACAACTGCCCCAAAGATTCTGTGCCGGTGAGGCTCGGAGGGGGGCAGACCTGGACCCGGGTTAAGGTTCAGAGGGAGCACACACGGACCCGGGTTAAGGTTCAGGGAGGGCAGACCTGCACCTGGTCAGAACATGAGGTGTTGAAGTTCAGTTTGGCATTCCTCACAAACTCGGTTCATTTATTCAGAAACTTCTTTCCTGGTGCTTTTTTACATGCACTACATTTCAGAGGAAATCCTGTACTATTTGCTGCGCTGCAGTCGTCTGCAGTTATTGTCCACAGCTTATTCAATGCTACATTAAATTGCCGTTTAAAATAGTTAAAATTGTCTCCACCACAGGCTAAAACATTACAGTGCTGCGTTATGATATTGAGAACTATACTGATGATACTGTGGTATGTTTGGCTCATGATACTTTAGTTTTACCGGAGTACAAAGTTGTATAACTTATCGATTGATGGTTTTTTTCGGAATCAGTTTATGGTGTATGGGACATTCACCTGCATGCAGCGTTTCAATGTGTGAATCTATCATTTTACTCAGCATTAGAGTGACACACTGAGGCCATTATGTTTCTACTCTTACAGAAACGCCTTTGTGTGTGATCTCAGTGTTTTCTTTTTCTCTGCAGGGAGTCTCTGCTCAGGATTTCTACATCATCAGAAATGGCAGACTGTCTGACCTGGAGGAACCCCTGCAGCATGGAGCTGTCTATCACCTGGAGCCCCGCCTCTGTGGAGGGAAAGGAGGTCTGTTCCAGGAAATCCACCAATCCAACTGTTCAACACTGCCTAAACCCGATAGAAGCTTTAGTGTGTGTTGTGTGTTTCAGGGTTCGGCTCCATGCTGCGAGCACTGGGCGCTCAGATCGAGAAGACGACGAACCGTGAAGCCTGCAGAGACCTCAGCGGGCGCCGACTGCGAGACGTCAACCACGAGAAAGAGTAAGAGTCCGAGAGATGCTCCCAGAGCCCAGCTTGCATCAGAGTAAGCCATGGAGAGAGGAGCTCCTCGTTCACACAGAACAGTTGCAGTCTGACGGACAGACTCCTCAGTTCACAGATCTTCGTTGTTACTGGCATTTTTTCATTCATACATTCCTAGAATTCGAGTCCGCCATCTTGTTGACTCAAGGCATTTTCACACATGAACTCCAGACTATGTACCTGGATTTGAATTTCATGCGAGTCACATGATAGAACGTCATCAATATGTCCTCTAGCTCTGTGTGAATGCTCCGGACTATACATTGCTGTACTTTCACATGGACTCACTCCAACTGACGCTAATGGAGCTGATGTAGGAAGCAGGCGGCAACTCCTCACTCATCTACAGTGGAAAGTAGACGGTGCATGTCATCCAGTAGTTTACGTTGCCGGACTAGAGCACCTGTTTTTGTTTTGGTGTTTGGCCATGTAGCAACTTTTCCTCAGGATTTTCCACTGTTAGCTGAATGACACATGACATGCAGGAAATGTGCAGAATCACTGCTCCGATGTTCAGCCTGTGCTGCGTCTGTGTGGGCCGTACTCTTCTTCTCCTGTGCTGCGTCTGTGTGGGCCGTACTCTTCTTCTCCTGTGCTGCGTGAGCCGTACTCTTCTCCTGTGCTGCGTCTGTGTGGGCCTTACTCTTCTTCTCCTGTGGTGGTTGCAGGATGGCGGAGTGGCTGAAGAAGCAGGCGGAGCGGGAAGCGGAGAAGGAACAACGGCGCCTGGAGCGGCTACAGAGGAAACCGTCCGAAACCAAAAACCCATTCAA